TTCGGTCGTTTGATTCCAGGGGACAACATCCCAAACTTGGCGGTGTGATTAACAAAACACCTTTTTGAATCACCGGCCTGATACCGGACCAGTCCACAAAATGACCGAGTCAAGGTCGACACATGTTTTACAAACCGTTATTTGAGAGGAAAAATACGAGATTATACCGTTATACATAATCTTGAAACCTCTCCCCCCTGCTATGGGTTGGCCGGCATGGAGAATTATGTAATTCGGCAACAGTTGAAAAACAGACAAAACGTGTGAATCATGACGGTCTAATTTGGCTACTGCGCTCCGAACTCTTTTACACTCCCATCCATTAGCCGTTGATCTGGTACAATAAGATTAAAATAACTACACAAAATCCTTGTCTAGTTAAATATGTTTTATCTTTATAAACACAGTTATTGAACTGTTATCGATATTGAAATTAATAAAATATATCATTGGTTTATTACGAAAATGTATTTTTTGAACTTATGCTGAAGGAATTGAGGAAATAGTTCTTCTTGGAAATTATGTAGAAATTCAGACGATAAACAGTTGTTAACAACTAAACTGATATGGTGGATAGATTGATGATACGTTAATAGGGTTTAAATCACGAAACCAAATCCGGTGATTAATAATTCTTGTCTTGCCCTCTTGTTATACCCTAAAACCGTTTCACAATAAATCTAATATAACATGTAAGGATCTGTTTAATTGGCAATAACGAATACGGTTTCCCCTGGGGTAGGTTTCTTGAAAACCAGTTCAACAATTTACTAGTTTGTATTTTTGTTGTTGTTAATCTCTGCCTCTGAATTATGCTCGCATGAACGACCCAGGAAGACACTCTACTTTTTGATGAATGTAAGATTTCTCTTCATTACCCGTGGTAGATTAAAGGTTCCGTTGCAAAGTGTTCGTGATATTGTTCCCTGGTTTTGATTTTAAGGTGTAATTTTCTGTTTTCAATGCCTTGTAGATTTTATTATCTTCCGAACGCAGGTTTAAATTTAATTAGATAAATAACGCTATTCGATACAAATGCGCATATTAAAATAATGGATTTTTTTACGCTAACATAACGAAACTATCGACATAGCAACTTAGTAATTGCGGATGATTTTTTTTTAGTCGGTGAGATATTTTGGGCTGGATTTATAATTATTTGCTTCACCAGGAAGAGCGCATTAGTTTAGGTTAGGAATGGTTAGGGGTTATGTTAGGATATGTAGGGTTAGTAGCGGGTTGAATACATGATTCAACATTTATACGTGAAGTGAGAAAAATGGGAGTGCAAAGAGCGAGTTTTGATTATTTGTATTTTTTGTTTATTTTTTACTTATTGCATTGTAAAATGGTCATAGCCGGTCATTTGTGGTCGTCTATCCTCACTGGGTTGGTCTGTCAGACGCGTTACGGCTTCTCGCCATATTCAGTGTTGGTAGAAACTCCATAACGTTGATTGATTTTTAATATCTCCTGTATTATTTAGTGTAAGCACTGATTTGAAGTTAGTTTCTTAAAAGAAAAAAACGCACTACAAGATGAAAATCCTTTAGGATCTATGGACTATATGACCCCTGAGATTGCGGAAAATCTAGATGAATCGAACTTACGCAAACAAAAGCTTGGGTACAACTTGTGTATGGAAAAGGTTTGATTTATGGGTCCCTCATAAACTGAAGGAAATTCACTTGATCCAACGTCTTAGTGTCTGCGTTTTGTTAATCAAATGAAAACAAAATGAATCCATTTTTTAAAAAACAATTGATTACACGCGATGCATAATGAGAAAAAAAGATCATGGAGCAAAAAACAGGAACCGGCACAAATGACATCAAAAAGCTTCTGCTATCAATTTGGTGGCATTACACGTCTATTTTCGATAGGGAATCGATTGAGATATGTACATTCACCCATTAACCAGACTAAACAATACGATAAAAAAAAATTAATTGACGGAAGAAGACGAAAAACTCCGCCTCACGGTTAAACATGTGTGTTTGTGTGTGCGCGCGCTTCAGCTACTTGATATCAGAATTGAATTATTATTCTCTTATTTTGCCACCAGTAAACTTTAATTTGGGTAATTTTAAAAATAAAAAGTTTAATCGCTATTATGATTATCAACAAACTTTTCTGCGGAAGATTCGTGATCAGACAAAAGGGAAATTGTATTGTGATTCGGCAACGCACCTTTATAACTAACGTGATGATGATCATCTACTTCAGAGTGTAAAGTATATTCGGTACTTATTGTGCAACACGGATATACAGCTGGGGTTCTGCCTCTCCCAGTTTATGATCCTTGACGTCGCGCCATGACTATGTGCCTTTTCCAGCCGACGTTAAATTTTTGGGTTGAACAGACTGCATTACTACTGTGAAATTGCTGGTTGAAAGTTGGACAAAAGTGTTCTTTATGTATTTGTTTAAAATATTAATTATAGGATATAACGGGTTTTATGGATATTAGTAACAATATCAAAAAAGTCCCTAATCCTACCATAGCTAACCTAACCTATCACAACCTAACTCCAAACCTACTTAACCTAACCTAACTTAACCTAATCCATTCCTAACACTAATTTACATAATATAACCCTACCTAACTTAACCTAATCCATCCCTAAACCTAATCTTACTTAATAATACCCATATTCATTCTAAAAAAATGCCTTTTCTTCTATCTCTATCAGTTTATCTGTTCTATTTTGTGCAGACTTACAGGTTTGAATTTTGTTTGTTGAAAAATTGGTTTTATCGCCTTTTGTTCTCGTAAATTATTTATTTATACAGCAACTATATAATAACTAATATTATATTATTATATATATTTCCTATAACTCCAAAGAATCACTTATTTCCGAAGTCTTCAACCATTATTACAATAATGTTTCACCACCTAATCCAACTAACCTGTCCCTAAACCTACATAACCTATCCTTACCTAATACACTAACACCAACATAGCCTAACGGTGCCTTTTATTCCAGCTTTCTGTGTTCTAATTTGTGTAGACTTACTGTTATTCCCCAAATTCAAAGAATACATTTGCTTACATTTTACAGGTTTGATGTTTTTTAAAAATTGGTTTTATCGACATCTTGTTCTCTTAATTTATTATCTCATGACTCCAGAGCATCATTTTGATTTCGGAGGTGCTAGTTTTCAGCTATCACACTAACTATTTCATTCTTCCATGAAATTCATTGGTGAAAATTTCAATGTCACGACCATGACAGGATTCCTAACAGTCTAAAAATTTAAAGTATCATCATTTATAAGGACTTAAACTGTTTGAACAGAAAGGTGTAAGACTTGTGATTTTTAAGTGGTGGGCCGTGACGGCACTAACTTATTGTCAACCGTTCTGAAAACCGGTCAAGTCATGGGATTTTTTCCCACAGAGAAATTCTCTAGGTTTGGACGAAGCAGTTGATGCATGAGCTATTCCAATTATTTTTAAATTTTTTTGTAAAAGCGTTAACTCTACTAGCCTACAAGGGCAAACCCACTTTTAAATTTCGCACTTTTTAGGTAGAGAATAAAAACGACCTAACATTTTTCGCTGATAGTACAAGGGAAAATAAAATACTTTCTGTGACTGAAAGGATAATCTGAATTTTCTTGCACTAACACAATCGGCTTTGGTCAATTTTTTTGTATATCACCGCAGAACTGCAGGTGATGATTCTGTAATGTAAAACCAATTAATTCAATTTCTGCTTAAATCGATTGAAATAATTAGTTATTAGTTAAGAGAACTAATTTTTATCCCAGCCAAATTAGATATAATAATGTTTCATGCTTTACGCTAACTATTCAAATGATACCAAATTAACGCTGGTGTTCCCCAAGGTAGTATCCTAGGTTCTATCTTACACTCAACCTACACCCATGATATCCCTACATCTCTGACAGTTACGGTTATCCTTTCCTTTATTTCCCACAGAAACCTTCAAACCTATATTTCCTCGTTGGAGGAATGATAGAATAAACGTCAATAAAATTGAATATTCCTCTTCTTTACGACCATACTGTCATCTACTTTGGAAAGGAGTCTGATATGGACCCTCCAAACCAGTCTAAAAAGACGAATCAAAGCGACGATATTTTACAAACTAAATATAAACTTACAGATCAGAACGTTTGAGTTTCAACTAAATGCTCCAATATCCGTAGAATACAGACCCAAAAACCCAAAATCCACCGAAAAGTAGTCGATTTCTACGTATCCAATATTCCTCTCGACCATGATCTGGCAAAAATCAGCTACCTTAAATTCCACTCCATCTTTACACCCATAGTAATCCCATTATAACCTAACGTGCATCCTTCACTCTGCCAAATAATCCCGATTATGATGATGATAATGATGGAGGTTGGAAAGTGTATCTTCCTCAAGCACTGCCTTCTGGCTTATTGTACCTTTTATGGTTCCTTAATTCAGTGCAATCTATTCGATCCTTTTCTTATAAAGTATTAGGTCATTGACTATCGTTGCTACAATTCCTTTCCCTAGGTTTTCTTTATATCTCGAGGTATGTCACCATTGTTCGGTTGCTTAGTATTTGAAGATGATATGATTGGTTGTTTCCTCCTAATTGCATTACCTAGAAATGATGTCATTGTTTAATATATATCATCACTCCTCAAACAATGATTTTAGTCCTCTCTAACTGTAGCAGTAAGTTTGCCAGTCTTCGTGAGCATAAGCTTTCTGTGCCTAGTACCTGTACAGCTTATCCACTTCTCTTTTTTGTATCCATCTGTGATGGAATATTCTGTGTTTTGTATTCCCAAGAATAGGTTCAGAGCCTATATATGGCTATATAGGTCAGTCTGTCTGATTTTTCATTACACAGAATTCCTTTGTTTTCTGGCACCCAAGACACCATCAAATTATTAACACTTCCCCAGGTTTTGAAAGCATTCTCTGACTATTTTAGATGTGATTTTTTTACACAATAATGCTTTAATAGCTGCTTGGCTATTTGACCTTATCAGGATTTTTTTTGTCAGTGTAACCCGTCTGTTAAGGCCAGGTTAGGCTTAGGTAGGGCTAGGTTACGGTTAGAAATGGCTAGGTAAGGTTGGGTTAGGGTTAGATTACTTTTAAGTAGGATTATGGTTAGGATTAGAGACGGGTTGGATTACTTATTCCACGAACTTAATGAAGTATTATTTTTTTGTTTGTTTCAGGACATGCAATTTGAAGAGGATGCTATTCGGCCTTGTCGGGCTTTTACTGCTGATAGGGAGTTCGAGTTGCCAAAGCAATTCCCACATCACTAGGCAACACCCGACAGATCAATTTCAACTTTACGGTAATTATTTTCTAAAAATAATTTTTCCATTTATGAATATTTTCCTTTTATTAAACGGTCTACGTCGCAATTATAGATTAATCAATTCAGCTGATTAGAAAGCTTGTAGGTTAATAAGCAGAGGAAACTAGTTTCAAACTAGCCTGCGTTTTGAAAAGATAAACCAATTATAATCGCGGATAAGATAATAAGGGGGAAAAACAAACATGCAATATAAGTATTTTTAAAACATAATTTAAGTTGAAGTATACTATACAGCACATAATAAATAAGAAAATTGAATAACATTGTTTGTACTAGAGGTCGACATGTGGCTGTGTGAAAAAGCCGGCCACAATTAAAGATTATTTAGGCTTTTCTTGAAAGGCAATGAAGAAGGGAAGAAAATAATTTCCATTAGATAATGTTATTCCATTCCCATGTATGAGAACTGTGTTAGGTGCGGTCTTCCGCTCTATCTTGATTTCTATTAAACGTACCTAAAATTATCTTATGAATTACATGCATATTACAAAGTGGCGTTGATGGGAAAGATTTAACTAATAATATGTAGATAGAAACATACTGTTTATGTCTATAGGAACGGAAGCGTTTCAAAAAGACGATTTTGTCATAATAAAGCCGTTAAATGAGTCATTCTCCATTGCAGGCAATTGCCTTGAGGATGCTTGCGTCGAGGAAAGCAGCGGCACGGCGGAACTGGCCGGCTCTTGCACTTGCAAATGCCTACCCCATCTGCCCGTCTTCAGAGAAGATTTGCACATATGCGTCGACGACATCCACGGTGAGTTTGAACTTCTTTGAACGAGGAAGGGAGGCCAAAGAAAATACCAATTCGGTTATTTTTGGTAAAACAGAAAACGTTTTTAAATTCGAAAATTCCCTTCCATCTAAAGCATAAACGCAGAGCAAAAATGAAGACATGTATTATTTAAACAACAATAGTGACGTATAAAATCAATACAAAATATATAAAATGCGAAAAATACACTGTGAGGCAAAAAAGTGGCTCCCTTAATATTTTAAATGATCTCTTGGCAATTCTCCATGATTATCTTACAACAATATTTGGTTCGTTTTGAAGGATTGAAGTTAAATAAAACACTGATAATATCTCCCACTAGTGTTTATAATTGGATTTTGCAAATAAATCTTTGAATAGTCGATCTCGTCATTGTTGGTTTTTCTGTAAAGCTTCTTTCACGTCGAATACAAGCGGAAGAAATATTCCATACTGTATTGTTTCAACAGCAACATTTTTTGTTAAGTTGTTTTACTCAATTTAATTCTTTATTTAGCTATATCTTATACTTTTCTTTAAAAATATTCAGTTAACAACAAAAAATAAAAATTATAACGATTAAATTCACTAATTTCATGGTCCGCTTGACCAATTAATACATTACAATTAATTAAGGTTTTTAGTTGAGATGAAAAATGTTAATGGCACGAGACATTTGAAAAATGGCAAAAGGAGGGAAAGCTCATAAGGTGGGGTTGAGATGGGGAGTTGATGTCCGAGGGGATCGAGGTCACGATAGCTCAGGTGGTAGAGCAGAGGCGTATTTAGCCGAAGGTCGTGGGTTCGAATCCCTCTCGTGCCATTAACTTTTTTTCATCTCAACTAAAAACCTTAAATAATTATAACGATTGCGAGTATTTTCTAAAAAAAGAGGGTGGGCTCACTTTAGTTATTGTCGTAAAGCCATGCCTGCCTGGTATGGAGTTTTACCTGCAAAACTAAAGTAGCGAAAATACAAATAACTCAAAACAAGTTTCTAAGGCTTCTGATGTGGCCAGATGACTAAAGTTCTTGGATACATGAGGAAATAAAACAAAATTCAATAAATTTTTTTCGCAAGATCGCCGTAAATAAACATTCCATTTGCAGTTCGATTGGCAACTACGATATGGAGAAACCTTGGAAACATAAAAGAATCAAAATATTTTTATCGAAAGCATAATGTACATAGATGTTAAAACAAATATTTTAAAAATTTTAATAATCAGGGTGACTGGCGATAAGTGTCGAAAATTTCAGGATTTTACTCACTATTTGCAGCAAAATATTTCCTATCAACCCCGTCCAAATCTCAACGGTAAAGAAGTAATTTCAGGGCTTTTTCGACTTAGGTCCACTAAATTGTTTGTAAACTTCAGAATTATTGTCTGTAGAAAATTCTGGTTTATGCCACCTGAAAGAACGTTAAATTTGCTATAACAAAACTATTTACATTGTAGAATTGATGGAATGGTATGGTATGGTGGAAAGGATACTAGGAAGCGGGGTTCGTATTCCCCAAGCACTGCAGCCTTCTGGCTTATTGTACCTTCCTAGTTCCTTACTTCAGTCAATAGACTCAATCCTTCTTCTTAGAAGTATCAGGTCATTGACTGTTATTGCTGCAATTTGATTCCCTAAGTCTTTTCCGTACGTTAGGTTAAACCTCCATTGAGCTGTTGCTTCGCATTCGAAGATGATATGAGTGGCTGTTTCCTCCTCATCATTACATAATCTGCAAATGGGGTCATCGCTGTACCCATGTTGTGTAGATGTTTTCTCAGATACCAATGACCGGTTAGTAGTCCTACCACTCCTCTGAGTTTGGCCCTCTCCAATTGCTGCAGTGTTTTTGCCAGTCTCGGTGAGGGTTGTTTCATCATACGTTTACTATGTCTAGCACCGATAGAGTTTATCCATTTCTTTTTTTGTTTTGCTTGGATCCATTCTGCGATGGAGGATTCTATATTTGTTTTTGTTATCCCAAGGATAGGTTCGGGGCCTATGTATGGTCTTGCAGATCCTCCTCTGGCCAGTTTGTCTGCTTTCTCGTTACCCAACATTCCCCTGTGCTTTGGCACCCAAGATATCATCAGGTTGTGTTTCCCCAGGTTTTGGAGATTTTGGATGCATTCACTGACTAGTTTTGATGTGATTCTTTTACATGCTAATGCTTTAATAGCTGCTTGGCTGTCTGATCTTATGAGGATTTTTTTGTCAGTGTAACCTCTTTTAAGATTTTCCAGAACACAAGCATTGATGGCATGTATTTCCGCTTGAAAGACCGAAGTGTACTTCCCTAATGAGTTTGATTGCTCATGTTGTATGTTGGCTTGTACAGAAAACGCCTGATCCGGTTCCTTCGTATGTTTTGGAGCCATCTGTGTACCGTATCATTGTATCTGATGCTCTCCTGTGTCTTCCTCTCCTTTATACTCCGTTGAGATTTTATAGGAAGTTGTGAAGATTGTTTCCGGGATCATGTAATCAGTCCCCATTTCTAATAATGGGTGTCTGATTTTTTTGGTTATGGTTGTATGCCCGAATTGTTTAGTTCCTTTCCAATTTAATTGTTTCAGGAGCCTAAATGGCTTTTCCTAGCCTCTCCTTGTATAAATATTTCCAGTGGAGGTAGGTTTAGCAAAGTTTCTAATGCGTTTGTAGGGGTTGTTCTCATCGCCCCTGTTATACATAGGTTTGCTAGTCTTTGTATGCTGCCTAATGTTTGGGTAGCTACTTTTTGTTGAGCTTTGTTCCACCAGATTAGTGATCCATATGTTATTCTGGGTCTAATTGATTTGGATTCGGGATTAATTGATGGAAACTTTCTTCACGAAAAATTCAGAAAAAAACAAAAATATTGAAATATGGAATTTTTTGAAAATGTTGCATTGGTAATTGTTAATAACTACAAACCCCTGGAATTTTGCAAATTCCCTCAAAAGTTCCCCATTCCATTAGCTTCCAGCGGTATACCCAAATTTTTGGATTGCGCTTCTGGAAGGCCCAAAAATTTATATATTTATTTATTTATTTTTATATTATTAATTTAATTATTTGTATATTTATTTAACTAGTTAATTATGTGTTATTAATTTAGTTGTTTATACATTTACATCACTATTTATTCATCTACTCACACATTTATTTATATCATAATTTATCTATGTATATTTGTTCTTAAATTGCTCTACTCGTTACTTAACCTGTCCTTAAAGCCTGCCATTTTATTTGTCACATAAATTCACTTCATTTAATAATCATTCTTCATTATTAACTATAAGTATGTAACGCAAGTGTCAACCGTTTTTAGGAACTTTTTCCGCTAATATGTAAACTGTAAATAAAATTATTATATAAAGTTTACAGGGTAAACATAAACCACCGTTGCTTTCGAACTTGGGTATTATATCAGCATGCACCACTACTGTAAATTAAGACTAATTGAATAGGGAATTTTTCATTTTATTTCGAAAATGTCTATGGCCAATAGAACAAGAACAACCAAAGCAAAGTCAATGAGTTTGCAAATTGTCTGGCTAAATATATATTCTTGACGAAGCTGAACCTACTAGCAAAGAGATTTATCTTCTCAAGAATAATATCAACGTCATATTTACACCAAAAAGAGGTTAAATTTCAATGTATTACCGATAAATGTCAAAGTTGGAAAAAAGTCTTAAAAATAGACCAGAGATAAAATTGTTTATGGGGGCTGTATGGTGATAAACGATTAGGTTGGCTGTATATAATTTTCGGTTTTAATTGTCCAATGTCATGGAAACAATAATTCCATTTTATTTTCCAATCCTCAACCTTCGCAAGTCAAGCGGGCTTATGGTTAACAATTATGTTTCTTTTTGATTCGGATTCGAATCTCCCCGGACGAGTCCCCATATAAACGGCCAGAGTGACCACGCATAAGTCCGACGTCGACTTGATAAAGCACATACCACAAGAACCGCAACAGAAGTTTACAGACAATCAAGTCCCATTTAATGTACACAGCTAACGGGTCGGCTCTCAGTTTCGGATTTTTTTCTCCGCCTCGATCTGACAACGCCGTTAATTATTTGACTTTGAATTCTTCTGCCCTACCATTATGAAATAATAAACTAGTTTGTTTCATTTAAGCAGGCTTATAATTTGGGCCCCTTTTCTCCTTAACTTTCATGTTCAGCTTTACCGATATATGCAAAATATTTTCATATGTGTGAATATTGCACCAGGTACTTTCGCTACGGATGTGGAATCACCAATTGTAATGATTTTTTTTTTGAGATACTAATTCGAAAATTATTAGGCACTTGTCTCAGGGTTCTTGGGGGGGGGACCTAAAAGGAGCCTCTAGGAGCCAAAAAAAGAAATATGTAGGGGAGTGAAAGTAATAAGCGAGAATATGTTCGTAACACGTTATATTTATTTTAACTAATTATTCTTTTTATCTAGGGTCTTCGTTCGGTACTTCTAAAGGAATTGGTGACGAAGGACTCGTTTGAGAGTTTCCTAAAATTTGTTTCCAAAATCAAAAGGGAAATTCCTGATTGATCCCCTGTTGTTTCTAATTTTTACTTAATTCTATAAGGTCGCTCTATTTAGTTTAACGCAACAAATGGGGAATGTCTAAGTACGCCTTGAACTCATTTAGAAGAAATTTCAAGAAACAAGAGAGAGAGAGAGAGAAAGAGCGAGCGAGAAAGCGAGAGAGAGAGAGAGAGAGAAAGAGANAGGGAAAGAGAGAGAGAGCGAGAGAAAGAGACATAGAAAAAGAGAGAGAGCGAGGGTGATGAAAGAGGGAGAGTGGGAGTGAGAGAGAGAGGGAGTGGAAAGAGGGAGAGAGAGTGAGGGTGAGAGAGGGAGCGGAAAGAGGGGGAGTGGGAGTGAGAGAGAGTGAGTGAGAGGGCGAGGGAGAGAGAGGGAGAGGGAGATGGTGAGAGAGAGAGGGAGTGAGACTGTAACTGACTCGAGTCGACTCAACTCCACTCAACTACTGGCGTAATTAG